TCCCTGTTCGCAACTGAGACCCGACTCAGCCTCTGTCCAGTGTTTCCTCACTGTATATCCTACCCTCTTGTTAAATGCTCTGTAGTGCTGTTGTACTTAGATTGGCTGTTGTGGTACGTGTCCCTTTCAGGTTGCCCTGAGCACAGGAGCAGGGCTGCTGGCAGTTCACACATGTCGAGGGGAAGCTGCAGTATGCGTCTAAAGCTGCAAATTTCTTAGTTTTAAGAAGGAAAAAGTAATCCCATGTGTGGAGATCACTAAGAGCTACACCATGGGTGAATCTTCCCAGTGGGAAATCACTGAAAATGAATGCAAGTTTTTCTGACACACCTGTGGCTGAAAAGTTATGACCACAGTGAGTGACAAGGGCAGAGTTAACACAGAAGGCACCCCTGGAGGGCTTGGAATATATCCCCCAGGGAAAAGGGGGCAGCTGACCTCTTAATTGGTGGTACTTAGTATTTGAATATTAAGTCGGTTCTCTAAAGGATTCATCTATAATTCTAACCATGAATTCTCCCTCACATAGTTTGTTTTATTTTACTTTGGGTTAATGTTCAAGTTGCTGGTCTGCCCTTGAGGGCACATGGGTGGTATAGCCACACCAATCGATATGCGGGATGCTGAGCCAAACTGGCCTAAGGATGACAGGGCCTTGAGGGACAGAAGCAGCTGGGTGTTCATCTGTCCTCTCTTTCAGTCAATGTTGGTGCTTTCCCCGTGGCTCCAGAAGCACCTTAGGGTGTCAAGAACCAGCCAGTACTGGTTTATGTAACCATTCCTGTTTTGTTATCAGTTGGGAGGTAAGGTCAAAGGTTAGCTTCCATAGAGGTCCACTATCCAGACTGGGCCTGGAGCCTTTCCAAGGAGGCAGAGTCCAGTTGATGTTGGATGTTGACCTCCAGTGTCAACGGACAAGGGGCCAGTGATGAAATCTTTCCCATAGGTTCTCTAGGCAGAAATGGAAGCTAAAGTATGTAGAGCAATAACTGGACTTTGTTACTCGAGGGGACCTCTGAACCAGGTGGTCAGGGTTCACTGTTGACTGACTATGTGACCGGTCAATGTGCCTCAGTTTCCTTAAGTCTAGAATGAGGTAAAAGTAGCGCTCACCACATGGGGCTCTTCTTAAACTCACCTGTGTGTATGGTAGGTTTGTGTCTAAGTGTTCCTGCATGCATATGTGTGCATGTGTGTGCATGTATAGAGACCAGAGGCTGACGCTGGGCTTTGCTGTAGCAGACTCTATCTTAGGACAGGGTTTCTCACTGAACCTGGAGGCGCCTGCTGCAGCAGTACTGGCTGGCTGAAGCTTCAAGGGTCCCTGTCTCCACCTGCTGATATTGGCATGGCAGGTTCACCTGCACGTGGCTTTCTATCTAGATCCTGGGAATCTGAATGCAGGTCCTGATGGCTTGCAAGACAGGCATTTTACCTACTGACCTATCTTCCAGGCCTACCACATGGGATTCTTAGGCAGTAGAAGGCTAATAGAAGCAAAGAGCTTAGAGCTGTACATTGCCCGTAGCTGGCCCGGGAGATGCTGTTGCTTTTCTGTCCTTGATACCAACTGCAGCCACTCAAGAGAAATGGCTGGACGCTGGGCACTCTGTTAGGCTTAATTCTGTCTTCATAGAAACTCTATGTGCTACCTATTTTTTTGTCCCCAGGCCATAGATGAGAAAGTGAGGGAGGCGTGGAGAAAGTTCGCTATCTGCTCAAGGTCACACATTAGCGGGTAATGGGCACGAGTTCTAACTCAGTGCTGCCTGGCACAAAAGCTTTTGCTTTTCATCACAAGACACCCTGAGCAAAACAAAACAAAAACCGCAAGGCAAAAAATACCCTTGTCCTAGGCATGATCCAGGGCCCCCGAGAAGGTTGTTCGGGAGTGTTTCTAACGGTCAATGCAACAGGGTTGTGGCTGTGACATTCTCAGGCAATTTCTTGAAAGGATCCTTTTGTAGCTCTATCCAGATTGTAAAAAGTTTATTTTCCATAAAATGTAAGCCTCTGTGTCGCTTGCGCAGTCTGTTTGGTTTTTCGTTAGTGTTTAAAGATCTAGTCTTCCTTTAAGGGCACAGAGGCACCTTCAAAATCAAACCAATCAATGCCATTGATCGGCTGCGCTGCTGTGTGTAGAAGGCATTTCGTGAAGGCTTTCTGCTCCAGCTGTGCCTGTCACTGCTGATGGCATTTGAGGCTGGAAACTCAGATGTGTCCCCTAGGGCTCTGGGTGAGCAACCGCATGTGAGCATAAGCCCATGCCCTGCTATAGGAGGTCGGATGAAGTTGGGGTGCATCTTCCTGTGGGTAAGAGTAGGGATGCAGAATCCCCGAGGCCTTTGACGGGAGCATGGAGTTGATTCTGCACTCACTCCCCAGCTCCTGCTCCTGCTCCTGAACTTGTCTTTCTTCCCCGACCACAACAAGGGAAGTTTGACAGCTGGAACGGAGAAACCCATGGTGTGGTCTACAAATACACACAGGGCCAGAAGTGGGGGAAGATCCTCCTTTCTCTTCTGTTTGTTCAAAGATAAAGAGGCCCATTCAGTCCACACGGGGTCCAGCAATTTAACCATAAACTACACTAATGGATGCCAGAAAGCAGCTACCCTCCTGGGCTGAGTCCAGACGTGGGCACCTCAGGTTCCAAACCCTCTGGACCGGGTGTCCCCAAGCCTCCCCTTTAAAACCGTTGAACGACTTGAGCATTCTAAACATTTAAACATTTTAAACATCACCTTTTAAGCATTCATGCTGCAATATCAGAGCCCATAGTGTTTTTCTTTTTCTTTTATTCCTTTTTTGATTAAAAAAAAAAAAGAAGCCTCTTGTGTTTCTAATCCTTGGTGATCGTGGTGTTTCGAATCTGATGCCAACAACCCCTGTTCCAAAGTTCCAAAGACAAAAGGTTTTTTTTTTTTTCCTTACCGGAATTTTTTCATTCCTTCCCACCCTCCCCACCCCCATCCCTCATTTCCTCAGGAAACCATTTAGCTAGAGACAGAGGGAAAAATCCCCCAACATATTTCAATAGTCCCCAGAGACTCACACGTAACTAGGCAGCCATCGGGCACCAAAAGCACACACTCAGCTTGGGGACAGTTGGAAGACTTTCATCCCTGCTCCCACCAGCTGACCTCCAGGAACTACTGGAGGTAGACGGCTGGCTCTGCACATTACCCCTCGGGGCTATCCAGGTAAAGTCATCCTGGACAGACACTCCGGTTTACTTTCCAGGGGTCTCCCTGAAAAGCACTTGTAAAGATGATCCTGTGGGCTGTAGGAGAAGGTAAAGGTACTCTGTCAACTTCTGCAGCCCTTTACTGTGTAACAGAGTTGTAACTGCTAGGAACGGCTTGGCACACAGGCTGGCAAGGTCTTTGTTCTCTATTCAGAAGGAAGGTATACATTACAAGGAACAGTAAATTGGCAAAACCCAAGAGAACAAACAAGCAACCAATTGCATTGTTGGGTGCTGAGTGCTATAAAGAAATCAAATAGCGTTTTGCAGTAATGATCAATTTCCACTGGGTTTGCAAACTTTAGGAAGTGTCTTTAATACCCCAGCGGCAGCTGCCTGCCTCCAGGCTGAGAGGCTTCTCAGGGGTGCCTTTGTCCCATCTGCAGCAGGAAGCCTACATCTTCCTCTAAAGTTAGACTTTAAGAACTTCTGTGAGCAGTCTCATGGGTTCACACGGACTCCTGGTTGGACACCGTGTGGCAAAAAGAAAACAAAGTCTCTACAGGGCTTGGCAAAGCACTCAGCACTTTTTTAGGAGCCCCAACAAACGGGGAGCTTGTGGAAACCATTCGTGAGGCAAAGGAGAAGCGAAGAGAGTGGAGTGTTTCAGCTGCAAAGAAAGCCTCACCTTCAAACCAGGAGGCCTTGGGTTTCAGGATTCCCCATGGTTGAGATCAGATCTAATCCATCTGACTCCTGGGAGTGTTGTGAGCCTTCCAGGAAGGTTGTTTCTCTTTCCCTTGGCCCACACTCATCTTCTCAGAGCCACGGGAAGGTGTCCCATGCTTTCTTGGTTTGCATTCTTGCATTCCCTCTGTGTTAGCTGGGGGAATCCTCCAAGAATCAAGTGGAGCTCGCTGGAACCCGCAGAAAGTCCTTCTAAGCCGACGCTCTGCCGAGCAGCCAGCAGGTGTCAGCAGTTCATCTGCTTTGGGTCCCCGGCAAGGGACAGAGCCCACCAAGGAGGACGCCTGGGGCTGACACCAGCTGTTTGAAAGTCTCAAGCACGGGTTAAGAAATTGGTCTACTCTTTGGCCAAGCACCAAAGGCAAAGGGGATGGTGTTCTTCAGATGGGACACACAGATCCGTTCTCGGAATGGATTCTTGCTCTTCACACTCGAACAGGACTTTTGTTGTTGTTGTTTGGTCGGTACTGATACCAGAATTTGTCAGAGAATTAGACAAGCTTTGCTGTGAAAATTTCAAAAGCTAAAGGCAACTAAATCTGCTTTCAAGTATGATTCACACACCCTGCCGCCACTTTAAAACAATAATCTATGCTTTTAAAAGAATCTCACTGGACACTTGGGAAAGAATGCTTAGGAAGGGACAGTCTGAAAATGACAAACAAAATTCCAAACAGGACGCCCAAAAATAGATGTGCAAAGGGTGGAAGGCAATTGAGACCAGTCTCTGGGATTGATTATTTATTTGACAAAGCCAGAGTAATCCCTCGATCTAATAAATGTGAGACCAAATACCACTGGAGAATTAAACATCAACAGGCTAAAATGCCTTTGGTTTATGGAGGAGGGCTTTTTGCTCATGTGTACTCATGGCTCACAGACCTATTAGCTTGTGTTCCTCAGAAGCCCAGGGTCAGGTGCAAAGACAATAAGACCACATTTATTAATTGCTCCCCATACAGCAATGCCCCATTCATAGCATGTGTGTCTGTGTATGTGTGTCTGTGTGTGTGTGTGTGTGTGTGTGTGTGTGTGTGTGTGTGAAGTCCAGCATCTTTTTCAATTGTTCTTCACCCCTTTTAGATTTTTTTTTCACTGGGCTTGCTATCCACCAATCCAGCAGCCTAGCCCTCCGGCAAGCCCCAGGATCCTCCTGTCTTTGTCTGCTCAGCACTGAGACAACAGGACCACGTTGCCATGTCTGGGGCTTCAACTGGGTTCTGGGAATTGAACTTGGGTCCCTGTGCTTGCTGGACTTGGTGAGTAGGCCATTGACCCAATCCCCACTCATTCTCTTCCCAGTAAACCTCTAGTGTTTCCTTTTCTCCTTTGCATGTTTGTTGTTCCGGCTTTGTTATTATGGAGTCTGTGCTCCGAGGTCAAATCTGCATAGTCCATGCCATTGTAGACAAGTCTGTGGACTTGCAGAGGAAGGTCAAGCGTATGCCGTTGCAAGTCTGTCGGTGGAAATCTAGTTAGAGTTAAACGTAGGACCCAGTCCCCAAAGGCTGGCACTTGAGGTCTGATTGGGAGTCACCTCCCAGGCTCATGGACTTTGACAATAGCTCCATCTCCGAGACTTACATAAGGCTTTAGCAAACAGTATGTGGCCCAATGGGCGACAGACTGCCTACTGCAAAACCAGGGTACAGCCTGCCTCTCCCATTGGTCCCCTCCATCTTTTGTGAACTCCTGGCATCACCCTCCTACGATTCATGTCATCACTTACAACACTTTGTCTTTCTTCCCAGGTCTGTCCTCCGGACTGCTTTCCTCACTGTCCCCTGGAACAGTCTTTCATTCATTTTAATTCAACTGATGCTTCAAACCCCAGCCCTCGTCTGGCGCCTTTACCTGTTACTCCAGCTTAGTGTTATTTTACGCCTCTTAATTCCTCAAGTGCCCAGTGCACCACATCTTTCATTCTTTTAATTATTTTCTTGAATAATCACGTGACTAATTACATAGCTATAACCATATAGCAATAACTAATATATGTTACATACATTGTGTTATATTGCCATTTCTATGATGTAAATCTGTTTCTTCGACATTTTTTTCCACTATAGAAGGGCAAACTTCTTGAAATTTGGGTAATTTTTAGACTAGTTTTACCAGTGGGCGCCATATGTAGTGAGGAGCTGTGGGCAGGCCTGCTTTTCGTCCCGCACGGCTAGCTTAGCCACGGAAATAACAACACACAAATTGTATTCATTTAAACACTGCCTGGTCCATTATCTCTAGAGAGTTAGTTGTTGGCTAACTCTCACACCTTGATTAACCCATTTCTAATAAGCTGTGTAGCACCACGAGGTGGTGGCTTACTGGGAAAGATTCAGCATGTCTGACCTGGTGGCTGGCTCCATGGCGTCTACCTCACTTCCCTTCTTCCCAGCATTCTGTTCTGTCTACTCCACCCACCTATGTTCTGACCTATCAGGCCAGGCAGGTACAAGCACACAAACATACAGGTATATACACACATACATGCATACATATACATGCACACACAGAAATATTAGTTGACAGAAATATTCCGTCAATTAATTTCACCTCAGCCTCTAATGTCCAGAGGAGACCTCTCTGGGGGTGAAAGTCTGAGACAAAGGAGAAACAAGGCCTGAGTCCCCAGCTCCTTCCTCATTTACTGCTCCTTTGAGGTTCTGGAGCAAAGTCATTTCCCAGGTTCAGCTGTTCCTGAAGGCTGTAGCTCCTTTTGGCAAGGAGGAATGCCAGGCCTCAGTCCCCTGAGGGAAATGTGACCTGCTAATTATATGCAAAGACTTGCTCCCTAAAAGAAGGTCTGGCTTTGTTGCCACTGGGAAATGTCAACAAATGACATTATCTCCCTTTGAGCAATCTCTGGCTGCACAAGGAGGGTCAATAGGGAAGCCAGGTGAGTGGGGACCTTAGAATCACTGGGGATCTGGGGTGGGGGTGGGTGGGGCAGCTCCTGAAAGTCTTCATGTAACTTTGATCTTGTTGTCGAAACCTATGAAGAGAACCTTGAAAGGCAAAGGCGTTTTGTGTGTGTGTGTGTGTGTGTGTGTGTGTGTGTGTGTGTGTGCACGCGTGTGTGTGCATCCTTGCTTGTAAATAGAGGAAGGGCTAAGTTAAGAAGTGGCCTGGTGTCCCAGCATTGTTTCTGCTGTTTGGACTGAAGTCACATGCAGCCACCAGTATGCAATGCCAGCCTGTCCCTCCTCTCCTTCCTGCCTGGATAGGCTGAGGTCAGTTTAAAAGCAGATGAAGAACTGGTTATAATGACTCGTGATGATATATGGCTTCTGTTCGCTCTAACCTAAGTGCTCCATGTCACCACCATCTTGGGCCCTCACTCTGGTTCTTTGGAGCCTGCTGTTTCCTTTCTAGAGAAAAGTTGGGCTCAAGGAAGTAAGGGGCGATGCCCTGTGTCACACAGCTCCTGGTGGATAAAGATGAGTTTTGAATCAGGCAAGATGGTGGTTGGTCTGGATCCTGGTCTGGGTCTGCATCTGTGGTGTCCCCTAAGGGCTCATGCATTTGAACTCTTGGCTCCCAGCTGGCAGTGCTACCTGGGGAGGTTGTAGGACCCTCAGGAGGTGGAGGAAGTGAGTCACTGGCAGCAGGCTCTGAGGCTTTCTAGTGTGGCTCCACGTCTTGTTTGCTCTTTGCTTCTTGACTGGATGCAGAGTGAACTGCAGCCCCCTGCTCCTGTTATCATGTCTTCCCTGGTGCAATAGTCTGCATCTCTTGATGTGGGATGTCCTTCTGTATGTGTGTTGCTTTTATTGGTTGATGAATAAAGCCATCTTGACCAATGGTTTAGCAGAGTAAAGCTAGGCGGGAAATTTGAACAGAGATAGAGAGAGAGAGTAGGCAGAGTCGAAGGGGATACCATATAGCCGGTGGAGGAGAAAGATGCCAGAACATTATCGGTAAGTCACAGTCTTGTGGTGATACATAGATTAATAGAAATAAGCTAATTTAAGATGTAAGAGCTAGCAAGGAATACGCCTGAGTCATTGGCCAAATGGTGTTGTAATTAATACAGTTTCTGTGTGATTATTTGGGTCTGGCAGGGAAACAAAGTGCAGTCTCTGTCTACAATCTCTCTAGTCAGAGTTTTTATCCCAGTGACACAGAGGTGACAAGGGGTGTTTCAGAAAGGACTAGTCACATCTTCTCTGTCAGTCTGTGTCTTCAAAGGGACGGAACAGATGGCAAAGGGCTACTTTATTTCAGGTGGTTGCTGGAATGGATGGTGTTTGGGTCTGGGTGTATGTTAGAGTAGCTTCTTTAATCTAGATATGTGATGTTTTTATTTGTGAGTTCATTACAGTAAAGTGAATAAAGAAAAAGGAGAAGGATCAATAAAGACACTTGATGACCTCTGACCTTCACATACACGGGTTCTGAATGTGAAGTGTTGCCTTGACCCTCTCTCCTAATAGAAGCATTCTCTTAAGACTTAGGAACAAAACTCACAAGGCTTAGCAAGCTCCTGAAACATACAGGACTCACAAGGCCCTGCCCCCATATTAAATACTCAGGAACATTTGCTGGACAAGAGGACAGTCTCTAACCAGCCCAGCTGTCTACAAGTTGTGCAGCAGCTTCTCCAGAGATGCAGTTTTGGTGAGCCCTCAGAACTGTTGTCCTTGCGGGTGTGGTTGTTCAGGGATACAGCCACCCCATGAATCACCCATGCAGGAGTCACTTGCACTCCTAGAAGCAACCCTAATAAACTCAATGGTTCTCCAAGTTAGAGTTATGTAGAATGCTTACTCTGGTCTGTCACTGGTGCCTAACAGACATTTGCTCAGGCCTCCACAGGAAAAGCACACTATGAGAGTCCCTCAGTGGAAGGCAGTTAGCAGTGATGCAGATAGAGATAATTATTGCAGGGGCAAAGAAACTCCACCAAATAGCAGGGTGAGAAACAGAAAGGTTTCTTCATTAGTTAACTGTTTAAATGTTCAGAGTTGACAATGTAAAGATTAGACTTTTAAATTCCCTGCTAGGGATTGATACCAAAAGCAGGAAAGGAAGCCACACAGTGATTTTAATATAAAGACTTTTGGGGGCTGGCTGGGGATGTAGCTCAATGTGCTTTATTGAGGTCCTGGTCTAATCCCTATCGAAAATGAAGAAAATGGAAGAAAGCAAAAGAATAGTGGGGGATGAGCTAAAAGTCACTAAAAAGAACCCTGAGAACACAAGGATAGCATTGGTCAGCAGCAGCCGTTACACTAGGAGCTGAGATGGTGGTCTGAGGGGTATTTCCTCTCCTGTCTTCTTCCCCTACGAGCTGAGGCCCTGAACATGCAGATGAGGAGAATGGCCACAGCATGGCTGGGAGAGGAGTAGTTGTGTTGATCCAGTTTGTTAGAAACCTGTCCTCTGGAGCATGTTGGAAATCACCCCTGTGGGATGCTGGGAAGTTGTTGAGGAGGAATTGTCTCTCTAGACCACTAACCCTGAAAACGTCCAAGGTGTCAGGAGAGCCACAGACCCTGGGTGTTGCTGATCACAGGTACTGCTGGATCTGGAATGAGAGAACCACCTGTTCTTCTGAATCTAGAGCTTCAGGATCCCTCATGTCCAGGATCAAGTGCATACGTGTAAGGTGCTGATTGCCTTAAAGATGGTCTGTGAGTGGGGACTGCAGAACCAGAGCCCAGCCGGACACGTCCTTCCTACTCCATTGTGTCTCTGGTACCATCTACTTCACATGGCACCTGCTGGAGATGGAAAGCCATTTAAGGGCCCCATATCCACTATTCGAGAGTGTGATGTGAAGGGTGAACTTCGAACCGAGAGGCCAAAGTTCAAAGCGAGTACACCACAGAAAAATATTACTATAATTTTCTGTGCATGAGTCAGACCTGGGGGTACTAGTCCTGGGGAATCTCCTACACCCCATATTGTGGGTCAGTGGTTTTGAGAGGCACTCCAGGTAGTTTTGATGTGTGGTCTGCTTGAATTATTGCAATAGTCTCCTAATTCTCTCCCCCATCTTGTTTCTCTATCACTCATTTTGCACACAGCGGTGCACTAGTCTGTTTTCCTCCCTTGGTTTAACAAAAACACAGAAGCCAAGTGCTTATAAAGAACATGTGCTTGCTTTTCTTGTCATTTAGGAAGCTGGAAGACCCAGGTTGAGTAGTTCCTTCTCTGTCCTCTTGTTCCAATGTGGTGAGGAGACTTAGTGGAATTGAGTAGACACAGAAGGAGTTCCTGCATGAGAAATGGTCTTGATAATATAATAACCCAGTTT